TTTTTTTTTTTTTTTTTTTTTTGAACCGCTTTTCTGGGTGTAAACCAAACATTTATCTTCATGTTGTGATCTTTTCCTTTAATGGGCTTTTTTTTTAATAAGCACTAACAGACCTGTGGAAATAGCAAAAAACTCATGAACGGTGCCTTCGTGTACACATTCCAGAGTGGGGTACCGGGCCCTCCGGTTCCTTGTGAGTGCCAATATTTAACCACTAGTAAGATTTTTGACAGTCTATTTTGTCCAGTAACTATTCTGAGTCTGACGGTGTTTGTCTTGAGTCTGTGTTTTGGTCAGAAATGTATTTTTAGAAGGACACTGTCAAGGTTTTCGGCCTCCAAATTTGATCCACTCTTGATCTGTAAAACCTGTATATACAACCTGTATGTTGTAGCAACAAATCCTGGAGCGAAGAGGTTTAAAACGGCCTACTGGGGGAAGACCTCCAGTTGCTGAACCGAATAAAGACAAATCGAGCAAGATCCAGACAAAAACCCACTTTTAAACACTTCTCGTGCTGGCTCAATTGCTGCGCTTATCAGCAGTATGCGAGAAACAGTGTTTAGCAGTCAGTGCAAGTAAAGATATTTTGCCATGAGGCACTACAAAGTTGAAGTTATTAAAACATTTATAGCCTAAGAAAAAAAAATCAATGGTTGTCAAATAAGAAAGGACAAAATAAGTAGTTGGGGTTGGGAGGAGAATTATTTTCCATCTGCCAAAACAATGGAGGAAATGCAAAAATTAAACTAGCAAAAGCAATCACTTGACAGTGTCCTTTTAAGTTTAAACTCCTATATTAGGAATCCCCACAGGGGAGTTACTCCAGTCATAGGCAACTTGTCCAGAGTGCTCACAGACAATGTGCTTCAGCAATATATAAGGCCATGTCTTATGGGAACCTGGTGGAGCAACACTTCTCCTGCTAAGGTTACTCTCCAGACCTTCTTGTACTTTGTATTCTTCCTAAATCACTTGTGTACACACGCACATGTGCACACACACACACATGCATGCACCCACACACGATGTGTGTACACACCCACACACGTGCACACCCCCCGCACCCACACCCATGAAGTGTGCCTGTTGTGTTAGCACTCATGCACTCTTGTGATCAGCGAATCCGTAAAGTCATGTTTTCTTTCTATTTTTCTAACCTCTCTGGTTCCAGTGGTGAATCCTGTCCTAAACCTGAGGATATATTTGTATACACGTGTGAGGTTTTAATTTAATAAATTATCTGAGTTTTTTTTTTTTGTTCTCGTTTTATCTTTCAGACCGCCAGTTGTTGCATTTTCTCCTTCGTTCTGTCTATTTGGGGTATAGCAGTCGATGCTGAGGGACACAGGGCTCTGTACCAAGGTGGCAGTAGATCTCTGTCAAGTTGAATACTGCTGCTGAGGAGGTGCTGCCCACCTACTTGTGGGACCTTTCAGCACAGACCAGTAGCTGCAAGATGGCTTTCCTTGCTCATTCTTCCAGAGTTTGCAGCAAACGAGAGCCGGCCATACAGCTCTTCTCACTGAGGGCCACTCACCTCCAGAGTCCTATAAGAACTAATCGCCACCCTCTCCAGCGTGTTTGTGAGTTCCTTTGGGAGACTGGGGGGATTGATGGACTGAGATGCCATCTGTGCTTTTGATACCCAGCTCTTTCTCTCCTCAGCCAGTCCATATGGCTTTCTCTCCCCTCATTTTCAGTTTGTTAAACTCTCCCTGGGTCCTGCTGAGCCTCTCTCATGCTTCTAGGTTTCCAGACAGGAGCTATTGCTAGAAACATTTTCAGCTTTTCCACCCAGTATGTCCTTCTCTCCCTGGTGCTACCCCATGTGTTAACCGCATCAAGGAGAGAAGGCAATAGTATGCTCTGCCTAGGTGATGCTTCTAAATAGGAAGCTCTGACCTACGTGCCAGCTCCTTAACTACTTACCAGCACAGCCCCAGGTGACTAGTTGTAAAATCGTAAAAGGCATATAATTGAGCTGTCTGGAAGACTCCTCTTCCCTTATGACCTATCCATGGTAGCATCACTTGTTGCGGATGCTGACTTAGATCAAGGGGATGAACAATGACATCACAGGAGAAGACGGTTCTGACCCAAACTTGTGTATACGTTCGTAACTCATTACAATTTTAGCAGTCAATATGTCACAGCAGTGAGCAAGAGAATGACCTACCCACATTTGGGTCAGGTCTTTTGTCAGGGGTATGAGCCTGGTGCAATAAGATAACTCTTAAATTCCTAGAAGAGGGAATAGGTTTCACCCCACCTTTAAAAAAAAATAAATAATAAAACAAAAAAAAAACAAAACTGTTAACAGCACCAAGACTGCTGACTGCTCTAAGGATAGCTGTCTACTGCAGCCTAACATGCTTTCCAACAACTACATAGAGAGAGCAATGCTGAAATCCAGCCCACCCACTTGCTTAGATCAGCAGCTAGAAACGGGCTGAAAATATATGTCGTGCCATGGGATAGTTAGCAAGGAACAGTTGAAAGTCTTACCTGGAAGGCAGCCCATGGGATGTACTGCATGGAGTTCAATGCATGTCGTGCAGAGAGAGGAATGGCAAAGCTCTAACTCGAGCCCCTGGCTCCAGAGGGATCTATGCATTTCAAACTTGATGCTTGGACTGTAAAGCCATGCTTTTGGTAAGGCTCTCACGGAGGCGGTGGACCATAAATGGGCATCGACTCTTGATTCTGAGGTCACTGAAACCAAATATATTGTCCTTTTTCTTCTCTGTCTTGCAACATAGCACTAACTATGTATTATCTGCAGTATCATTGTGCTCTGGTCATGAACCAAGGGACTGGGGGGTGGGGGGAAGCAGTTCTTTCCCTAAGGAACTTACAATCTAAGCATAAAGCAGAAGTAGATGGACACAGATGGGGAAAAACAAGGAGACAATGAGACTTTTATACTCGGTGTGACAGGCAAAGATCTCAGCTGGCATACTGTTGGTCATCATTTTCCAGGCATTAAAGCAAAGAAGAGCTCTGAGCATGGCATTAGTTTGGCAGACATTTATGACGAGCTCCTTCCAAACATGAGAGGACAGTAGGAGTAGCACAAAGGAAGGGACATGTTTCATAGTTTCTAGGGTTGGAAGGGACCTGAGCAGATCATTTAGTCTGACCCCCTGCCATGGCAGGAAGAGCACTGGGGTCAAATGACCCCAGTAAGGTGGTCATCCAACCTCCTCTTAAAAACCCCCAGGGTGGGAGCCTGCACCACCTCACTTGGAAGCTGGTTCCAGACCCTAGCCGCCCTGACCGTGAAGTAGCGCCTCCTGATATCTAGCCTAAATCTACCCTCTGCCAGCCTGTGACCGTTATTCCTGGTCACTTCTGGTCAGGCTCGGGGGAACAGGGACTCCCCCAATGCCTTCTGATCCCCCCTGAATAGTTTATAACAGGCCACTAGATCCCCCCTCAGCCTTCTCTTTTGGAGGCTGAACAGGTTCAGGTCCCGTAGCCTCTCCTCATAGGGCCTGCCCTGCTGCCCCCTGATCATGCGAGTGGCCTCCTCTGGACCCTCTCGATGCTGTCCACATCCCTCTTGAAGTGCGGTGCCCAGAACTGGATGCAGTACTCCAACTGCGGCCTGACCAGTGCCGCATAGAGGGGGAGGATCACCTCTTTGGACCTGCTCGAGATGCATCTGTGGATGCATGACAAGGTACAGTTGGCCTTCCTGTAAATGTCCATGGTTGTTAAAAGAAGGTGAGCATTGCCAAGGAAGAGGCGTCCCATTGTATGGTCACCAGTCTTGAGTTTGGACGATGTCGGGGGTGTAATAGAAGCCCAGTCTGTGGCTCACTATCTTATGTGACTTAATGATGACTACAATTACAAGGAGTTACAAAAGTTAGGTGTGTTAACATTTTTTCTGGGACTTGGGTAGAGTGGAAGAGGATCACGTTTAGGTGCCAACTAGGTGGAAGCTGATCCAGTGTGTCCAAGTCACTGGGTCCCATGTGCCCTCAGGGAAACCACATCTGAATAGTCTCATCTCTAGTTTGGGGATGCTCAGGCACGCTGCCAGGCTCAGGCTTCTCATCTGCTTTCCTTCCATAGGATGTGAAATGTCGCCATCCAGTTACTCTAGTCCCCGAGACCAGTTTTTGAGATCTCACAAGTGTCTGCCCACCCCAAGCCACTCTGCTCCAGGGTTGTACCTAGGCTGACAGTGCTCTGGCTTTTTGCTTTACCCGTTCAGACAGCAACACCTCAGGAAAGTCGCTGGCTTAGCAAAGGATACAACCACCATGACTTGACTCTTAGGAAGGAAACCTATTCCATGCATCAGTAACAGCAACACAATTCAAGGGTAAGAGAAGGAAAAGGCACAGAGAAGGAGACGAGTGGGGTGGACTTGTCCCAGCTCTTTATCAGAATATAATGAAGGAAGCAGCAGATCTCGGGCTGACATGCCAACACGAGAGACGCCGTTGAGACCCAGGATGGAGTCAAGATGAGGACGGAGCACCGTGGCCTTGGCTGCTCCTTTTTTGATGAATGGGATCTGGACTCCAGAACATGGAGGTGGTGGATGTAGCTGAGCCCATAGATGACCTAGGACAGGATTTGATTGATAAGGTGGGGAGACACAGGGAGCAGGGGGTTTTAGATTTTAGATTGCAGGAGAATCGGGGACAAGTCATGGCATAAATCTGGTAAAGAAGGGAGAGAGAAGCCAAAGACGCACTTGTGGTTGTGATCCAGACAAGACAGCAGGATTATCAGAAGTGCTAAAGAAGGGGAGGAGAGGACGTGTAAGGCATTTGAGATGCACCGAGCTCAAGGTGTGGAAAAACACACTATGGCTTGGAAAAAAAAAAGTCTGAGTCCTAGCGTGAGCTCTCAGTA